CTTTGTCTAGAGACCCATCAGAGACCAGTCTGCCTGTCTGTCATTGTCTAGAGACCCATCAGAGACCAGTCTGTCTGTCTGTCTTTGTCTAGAGACCCATCAGAGACCAGTCTGTCTGTCTGTCATTATCTAGAGACCCATCAGAGACCAGTCTGTCTGTCACTGTCTATAGACCCATCAAGGACCACTCTGTCTGTCTGTAATTGTCTCGCGACCTTCTTCAAGGACCACTCTGTCTGTCACTGTCTAGAGACCCATCAGAGACCAGTCTGTCTGTCTGTTCTTGTCTAGAGACCCATCAGAGACCAGTCTGTCTGTCTGTCTGTCACTGTCTAGAGACCCATCAGAGACCAGTCTGTCTGTCTGTCATTGTCTAGAGACCCATCAGAGACCAGTCTGTCTGTCTGTCACTGTCTATAGACCCCATCAGAGACCAGTCTGTCTGTCACTGTCTAGAGACCCATCAGAGACCAGTGTGTCTATCACTGTCTAGAGACCCATCAGAGACCAGTCTGTCTGTCTGTCACTGTCTAGAGACCCATCAGAGACCAGTCTGTTTGTCTGTCATTGTCTAGAGACCTATCAGAGACCAGTCTTTCTGTCTGTCACTGTCTAGAGACCTATCAGAGACCAGTCTGTCTGTCTGTCACTGTCTAGAGACCCATCAGAGACCAGTCTGTCTGTCTGTCACTGTCTAGAGACCCATCAGAGACCAGTCTGTCTGTCTGTCACTGTCTAGAGACCCATCAGAGACCAGTCTGTCTGTCTGTCATTGTCTAGAGATCTATCAGAGACCAGTCTGTCTGTCTGTCACTGTCTAGAGACCCATCAGAGACCAGTCTGTCTGTCATTGTCTAGAGACCTATCAGAGACCAGTCTGTCTGTCTGTCACTGTCTAGAGACCCATCAGAGACCAGTCTGTCTGTCTGTCACTGTCTAGAGACCCATCAGAGACCAGTCTGTCTGTCTTTGTCTAGAGACCCATCAGAGACCAGTCTGTCTATCTTTGTCTAGAGACCCATCAGAGACCAGTCTGTCTGTCTGTCACTGTCTAGAGACCCATCAGAGACCAGTCTGTCTGTCTGTCATTGTCTAGAGACCCATCAGAGACCAGTCTGTCTGTCTGTCATTGTCTAGAGACCCATCAGAGACCAGTTTGTCTGTCACTGTCTAGAGACCCATCAAAGACCAGTCTGTCTCTCTGTCACTGTCTAGAGACCCATCAGAGACCAGTCTGTCTATCTTTGTCTAGAGACCCATCAGAGACCAGTCTGTCTGTCTGTCATTGTCTAGAGACCCATCAGAGACCAGTCTGTCTGTCTGTCACTGTCTATAGACCCCATCAGAGACCAGTCTGTCTGTCACTGTCTAGAGACCCATCAGAGACCAGTGTGTCTATCACTGTCTAGAGACCCATCAGAGACCAGTCTGTCTGTCTGTCACTGTCTAGAGACCCATCAGAGACCAGTCTGTTTGTCTGTCATTGTCTAGAGACCTATCAGAGACCAGTCTTTCTGTCTGTCACTGTCTAGAGACCTATCAGAGACCAGTCTGTCTGTCTGTCACTGTCTAGAGACCCATCAGAGACCAGTCTGTCTGTCTGTCACTGTCTAGAGACCCATCAGAGACCAGTCTGTCTGTCTGTCACTGTCTAGAGACCCATCAGAGACCAGTCTGTCTGTCTGTCATTGTCTAGAGATCTATCAGAGACCAGTCTGTCTGTCTGTCACTGTCTAGAGACCCATCAGAGACCAGTCTGTCTGTCATTGTCTAGAGACCTATCAGAGACCAGTCTGTCTGTCTGTCACTGTCTAGAGACCCATCAGAGACCAGTCTGTCTGTCTGTCACTGTCTAGAGACCCATCAGAGACCAGTCTGTCTGTCTTTGTCTAGAGACCCATCAGAGACCAGTCTGTCTATCTTTGTCTAGAGACCCATCAGAGACCAGTCTGTCTGTCTGTCACCGTCTAGAGACCCATCAGAGACCAGTCTGTCTGTCTGTCATTGTCTAGAGACCCATCAGAGACCAGTCTGTCTGTCTGTCATTGTCTAGAGACCCATCAGAGACCAGTTTGTCTGTCACTGTCTAGAGACCCATCAAAGACCAGTCTGTCTGTCTGTCACTGTCTAGAGACCCATCAGAGACCAGTCTGTCTATCTTTGTCTAGAGACCCATCAGAGACCAGTCTGTCTGTCACTGTCTAGAGACCCATCAGAGACCACTCTGTCTGTCTGTCACTGTCTAGAGACCCATCAGAGACCAGTCTGTCTGTCTGTCACTGTCTAGAGACCCATCAGAGACCAGTCTGTCTGTCTGTCACTGTCTAGAGACCCATCAGAGACCAGTCTGTCTGTCTGTCACTGTCTAGAGACCCATCAGAGACCAGTCTGTCTGTCTGTCACTGTCTAGAGACCTCCATCAGAGACCAATCTGTCTATCTTTGTCTCGAGACCCATCAGAGACCAGTCTGTCTGTCTTTGTCTAGAGACCTCCATCAGAGACCAGTCTGTCTATCTTTGTCTCGAGACCCATCAGAGACCAGTCAGTTTGTCTGTCTTTGTCTAGAGACCCATCAGAGACCAGTCTATCTGTCTTTGTCTAGAGACCTCCATCAGAGACCAGTCTGTCTGTCTGTCACTGTCTAGAGACTCATCAGAGACCAGTCTATCTGTCTGTCAATGTCTAGAGACCCATCAGAGACCAGTCTGTCTTTGTCTAGAGACCCATCAGAGACCAGTCTATCTGTCTTTGTCTAGAGACCTCCATCAGAGACCAGTCTGTCTGTCTGTCACTGTCTAGAGACCCATCAGAGACCAGTCTATCTGTCTGTCATTGTCTAGAGACCCATCAGAGACCAGTCTGTCTGTCTGTCATTGTCTAGAGACCCATCAGAGACCAGTCTGTCTGTCTGTCACTGTCTAGAGACCTCCATCAGAGACCAGTCTGTCTGTCTGTCATTGTCTAGACACCCATCAGAGACCAGTCTGTCTGTCTGTCACTGTCTAGAGACCCATCAGAGACCAGTCTGTCTGTCTGTCATTGTCAGAGACCCATCAGAGACCAATCTGTCTGTCTGTCATTGTCTAGAGACCCCATCAGAGACCAGTCTGTCTGTCTTTGTCTAGAGACCTCCATCAGAGACCAGTCTGTCTGTCTGTCATTGTCTAGACACCCATCAGAGACCAGTCTGTCTGTCTGTCACTGTCTAGAGACCCATCAGAGACCAGTCTGTCTGTCATTGTCTAGAGACTCATCAGAGACCAGTCTGTCTCCCACTGTCTAGAGACCCATCAGAGACCAGTCTGTCTGTCATTGTCTAGAGACTCATCAGAGACCAGTCTGTCTCTCACTGTCTAGAGACCCATCAGAGACCAGTCTGTCTGTCTGTCATTGTCTAGAGACCCATCAGAGACCAGTCTGTCTGTCTGTCACTGTCTAGAGACCCATCAGAGACCAGTCTGTCTGTCTGTCACTGTCTAGAGACCCATCAGAGACCAGTCTGTCTGTCTGTCATTGTCTCGAGACCCATCAGAGACCAGTCTGTCTGTCTGTCACTGTCTAGAGGCCTCAACTTATTTCGCAACGTACATAGCCAACCGTGCTACCCAGAGGTGTGCGGCCAAGCCAGTTGCCTGTCATTAAACCGGGTTCTCTGGTGTGGCGAGTCAGTGGTCCAAGCACGCTCGCGAAAACACTGACAGCGAGAATCTTATTAAACAATTCATTTGGCCAAAAAAATTCCCCCCCTTAGCTACCAGGGTTAGGGTGGTGAGATGCTGCCCGCCTACTGTGTGGCCCGGAGGTGACTCGAAGGGATCTCGGAGGTAGCTCCGCTACGTCCGCTTCCCCGTTCCACCAACGGGGAAGGGCTGCGTTGCCGCGTGAGCGTTCCCAATGGGGTTTTGAGTCCCTCGGCGCGACGCCGGTCGGACGCGATTGCGCGTAACCGGGGAAAGGTGGCGGAGTGGATCGTCGTCATCGTCGTCGCGGTGGTGTCCCGTCGCGCGGCTCGGCCTGCGCTGCCTTTGCCGGGTTCCACGGGAACTGCATGTCCGGCGCGAAAGAAGTTAAACGTACATGCATGCTTCCTCCACGCCTCCGATTAGCGCGGTCGGCTACGTACGGTGCGAAGGACGCGCAAGCATACGCGCTACATACGTACTGCTGCATTGGAAGGAAGCTCTTGGCACGTGGCGGCGAAACGTCGGACACCGCGCATATCGGAGGGAGAGCGCCCGCGGCCGTGGCAGCAGCGCAACGGCATAAACTCACGCAGGGGAGGTGGGGAAAATAAGTACAAATAATTATTCAAATGTCGACAGAAGCATACTCTTTGGTTCTATTCGGTAAAGTCACGTGGGTAAAAAATAAAACAACAAAAATCACGACGTTTCGGCCACAACACAAGCGGCCTTCATCAGGTGAAGGGATCAGGCTGTCTCGAGGACAGCGCTGGAGTGAAACACAGCCACGCGGTCTGAGCGTATTTATTTTTTTACCTACGTGACTTTACCGAATAGAACCAAAGAGTATGGATCCTTGCAGTCACGAAAGCTTTACATCTAGAATTGTCGACAGAAGTTTTTTGTAATTCTGGATCTCACCGCCCTGTGCCGGCCCACCACAGTCTACACAACAACAACAGCAGCAGCAGCAGCAACAATAACAACATCGTGCATTCATGCTGTGCCCGTAACGCAACCAAATTGCACAATTCGGTTGGCGGCCGACGTCCCCCCCCCCCCCCCCGTGATCCGCGGCTCAAACAAATTCCCCGCGACGCCGGCGCACGGCAGCGAGAGGAGTTGGCGCCAACGCTGCCGCGCGAGGTCGCACGTTTGGTGCGGCGGTCGTTTCTGCTGACCGTGCGTGACGAACGACCGAACGAACGAACGAACGAATCAACGCGAGCGAACGTTCTCGGGGGGGGGCAGCGCTTTCAGGCCCAGGGAAGCCCCCTTCCCCGTCGTCCGCTGTCTCCCTCCTCCCCCCCGCCCAGGCGGCGCAGGTGGACGACCCGCGCAAGTTCGCGGTGGCGGTCGCGGTGGTGCGCGTGGTGTCGCTGAATCGCTGGGCGCCGGCGTTCCCCGGCGGCTACGAGGGGTTCGTGCGAGAGAGCTCGGGCGACGCCGTGCCGGTGTTCACCACGCGCGAGTCGGCGCTGCGCGTGCACGCGCTGGACCGCGACTTCCCCAATGTGCGAGCCGACACGGCCACTAACGACACCGACACCGCCGCCATCACCGCCGCCGCCATCACCACCACCCCCGCCACAACAACCACTACCGTCTCCGACACTACTGCCGTCACCCCACCACCGTCACCGCCGCCACTGTCACCACCACCACCACCGCCACTGCCAACTACCGCCACCATCGCCACACCAACAGCAGTTCCACAACCATTGCCGTCCCCGCCACCGCCACCACCGCTGCCATCGCGACCACTACCGCCACCACCACTACCACCATCGTCGCACTTGTGCCGGGCACCTGAAGCGTGGAAAGTTGCCCGCAGGAGGTCACGGAACCGACCCGGGCGAGACGGGTAACCTGACCGAGGTGACCGGCACCACCACATCTCTCGCCCTGTCTGCTACCTCCCCTTCCCCCAACCACCATCCCCCCCCCCCCCAGGGCCTGAACCCCCGGGTGGAGTACTCGCTGATCGTCCCGGCCGGAGCGCGCGCCGAATGGTTCTACGTGACTCACGAGGGCTTCGTGCTCGCTCGCGGAGACGCGCTCACCCTGGGCCAGAGCTTCGCGCTGGAGGTGAGTGCCGCGGAGCTCTACGCTGGGCCACGGAGCTCTACGCTGGGCGACAGAGCTCTACGCTTAGTGATAGAGCTCTACGCTGGGCGACGGAGCTCTATGCTGGGCGACAGAGCTCTACGCTTAGTGATAGAGCTCTATGCTGGGCCACGGAGCTCTACGCTGTGTGATAGTACTCTACGCTGGGCGACAGAGCTCTATGCTGGGCGACAGAGCTCTACGCTTAGTGATAGAGCTCTACGCTGGGCCACGGAGCTCTACGCTGTGTGATTGAGCTCTACGCTGTGTGATAGTACTCTACGCTGGGCGACAAGAGCTCTATGCTGGGCGACAGAGCTCTACGCTTAGTGAAAGAGCTCTACGCTGGGCGACAGAGCTCTACGCTGTGTGATAGTACTCTACGCTGGGCCACGGAGCTCTACGCTGGGCGACGGAGCTCTACGCTGTGTGACAAGAGCTCTAAGCTTAGTGATAGAGATCTACGCTGGGCGACGGAGCTCTAAACTTAGTGATAGAGCTCTACACTGGGCGACGGAGCTCTACGCTGGGCCACGGAGCTCTACGCTGGGCGACAGAGCTCTACGCTGGGCGACAGAGCTCTACACTTAGTGATAGTACTCTACGCTGGGCGACGGAGCTCTACGCTGGGCGACAGAGCTCTACGCTTAGTGATAGAGATCTACGCTGGGCGACAGAGCTCTACACTTAGTGATAGAGCTCTAGGTTGGGCGACGGAGCTCTACGCTGGGCCACGGAGCTCTACGCTGGGCCACGGAGCTCTATGCTGGGCGACGGAGCTCTACGCTGGGCCACGGAGCTCTACGCTGGGCGACGGAGCTCTACGCTGGGCAATAGAACTCTGCTCTGTGTTAATTCAGACACAGAGAATATCTATCGCCCGTCGCTGTGTTCGCCTTCAGAGGCAGAGATGCACCAGTTTTATTGTTTGCGCGCATTTTCATGGTTGTTTTTCTTTCTTAAAAAAACGCGTCGATCTGCAAACCCCTGCAGGTGGTCGCCACCGACCAGGAAAGCTTCGACGTCGCGAAAACCTCGCTGAACATCGAAGTGATCGCGCAGGATGGTGAGTGTTGAAACGAGTCGCGCTTGTCGCGTGTCGAGCGATCTCTCTGTGAGAGGCACCACGGCTCTATTTGGAAAGACGAAATCGCCATCTCGTTATTCGTCTTCCCAGCCGGCTGGCCTCCAGTAAGGTGCTGCAACATCTTTTTTTGGGGGGGGGGGGGGGGGAATCATGTTTGACGTCATCGTAAAAAAGATTTTAAAACAGTTTAAAGAAAACATTTAAATCCGATAAACTTTCGGCGGTTGATTTCACCGTACTTCACCACGCCAGTCCGTTTGGCACAAGTGAGATGTTTTCTGGTTTTGGCCACATGCAGAATCAACGTCACGCGTTGTAATTATCTGACCGCTGTACATTTCCACGTGATGATGATGATGATATGATAAGCCACTTCGTTGATAGGCAGGTCGCCTCTGAAAAAAGAGCTACGTATCTCAGTGGGGCCTTACCTGGTAAAAATAAATCAGAAAATAGTAAATAGATACACTGGAATTGTGGCGAGGCAGCGAGAAGGGGGGGGGCAAAGCCCACTAAAAGAACATTCTCAAAAAAATCAACATCAACTCAAATGACCCAATGGACGCGGTGAAATCTTCTGCGTTTTTTTTTTTTTCACGACGGGCGGTAAAACCCGGGGGCCCGTGGCGTGCGCCGCTTGAGCGGGCGAACGAGCGAGGTCTCCGGGCGCCGCTCTTCACGCTTCACTTGGGGCGCTTGCCGAGGGCTCTCGCCGCCGCTCTTCAATCCCTGCGTCGCCTCCTCTCAACCTCGCCCCCCTGCCCTGGAGTGCTCTTGGCTTGGTCCCCCGAGGGCACTCCGTCACCCGCGGCTGCCGCTCCCCCCACCGCCTCCCCCCACCTCGAGCGCTCACGCAGCCTCTCCTTGTGGAATGGAGAGAGATTAGCCGAACTTCCTTCTTCCCGCGCGTAGCCGGTCGCGCTCACCGGAGGTGCGGAGAGCGGGCTGCTGTGCCGCTCGGTAACAGCTCGTGCCCTCTGAGCAAGGATTTCGGTGAGCACGGCGGGCTGCCCTTGTTTCGTCGGCACGTCCAAACGCCACCCGGGGCGCGCTCCGATTGTGGAGACGGGCAGAGACGCGAAATGATGCACTCACCGGCGTGGTCAAGTATGGCCACACGAGCGGCCAAGAGCATGGGGCAGGCCTTGTTCATCCCGCCGGCTTCGTCAGTCGCGTTGCCTCATTACACGATGATGATGATAATGACCATTACGATTATTACGACGGGGGATGATGACATCGACGACGATGAATACGTTCTTAGCGACGGCGACGATGAGGCCGCGACGACGTTCCCGACGACGGCAGCGAGATCGGCGGCTGCGACGTCGACGACGATTCCTGACGACGCCAACGGGCTTCCCCCGCCCCCCCCCCCTTCCCGGCGTTTGTCGCTACCTCAGTGAACTTCTACCGAGCGCGCGAGATGGGGATCCTGTCGGTGGTGCTGGCCAGCTGCCTGGCCGTGGCCTGTGCCGCCACGGGCCTCATGTACTACCGCATGCGCCTCCTGGGACACAAGGCCGACGATCCGCTGGCCCTCAAGGAGAGCCCCTACGTGGTAAGAGCGGCCCACCCACTCGGTCCCGAGATCGGAGAGCGCGGCGAGAGGTGGCCGCCTCCTGCTACACCACGGTGGCTAGGAGATGTTAACTACCTCGCCGGGTGTGCAGGAGATCGTGGGTTCGATTCCGCAACTGACGCCTGCAGTATATTTGGAGTTTGCTTGCCTCTCTCCCTGTGGTCGCGTGGATTTTTCCACGGATCCTTCGGTTGTTCCTTCCACAATTATAATCGTGGGTATTTTGGCTGCTATGAATTTCCACGCGATGAGCCACTTCGTTGAGCTATCATTCATGATAGCCAGGTCGCTTTTGAAAAAAGAGCTACATAGCTCATGTGGGCCCTTCATGGTGATGTTTTAGTTTTTACACCGCTCACTTCTGCCCCTGCTGGGCAGCAGGGCCCCCGCTTACAAGGGTGTTGTTGATCTACTCTTCCACGCTGCACCGGACGCGTTGGAAGAGGTGGGAAAGTACCCACATTGTCCCCCACCGCTAGCGACCTGCCTGCCAGTCGATGTGGTGGGAGGTGCGGGGCATTCAAGGAAACTGCACCGTTGTTTCAACTGCCGCGCCTGGAGATAGAGCCGGAGACATCCATAATGCTCTCAACCTCATAAACCCGGGCTAAATTTCAGTTGTAGCTGTCCAGGGCTGAGCTCTGGAAAATACCCGACCCTGCCACCCTCCCCCCACCGCTGTGGGGGGAGGGTCAGCGGTCAGTTGGGTCAGGAGCCCTGGAAAAGCCGTGGGTGTAACCTCAGTAATTAATTAGCGATCGGATAAAAAGTTGGAAAATTATGCATTTTTGGTCAAGGGTCAGAAATGTGAACATATTTGTGAGATGATGGTCACACCGTGTGTGCACAAAACCTTCACTGGGGGCGGGCGGTTAATTGATCAGGGCGAATATGTGACGGTCGGATACGCGACGTAGCTCCGTAACATTGTAGGCCATCGACCTGTCGGTCTCCTGCACCACAAGGACGGCAGCATTCGTTCTCGCAGGAAACCTCCAGCGGTTCCCACTTTCTGGGTCTCATCGGCAGTGTTGTGGTCTGTTCAGGCCGACAAGTGCCCTTCACAGCAGGGGCGGAGCCAGGGGGGGGTAACAGGGGTGACATTCTGCGTATAAGTGTACAACACTCGGTCTGGCGGACTCCGTGCAACTGCATTGTCAGAGCGTGTCGCCAACCGATGGCGTCCAGTTCAACAGCCTGACCTCTCTAAATCATTCTTGAAATTAACATTTGTTGAATGTCACCCCGGCCTGAAATCCTGGCTCCGCCCCTGTTTCACAGTGGGGACCTCGGTAGTGCAGTATAGCAACATGGTTCGAAATTCAATAAGATGAATCAACCTCTACTCTGTACAATTATAATTGATCAAACAAATAATAGAAAATATTTAGTCTTATCATTGTATCAGCCTTTTGGACTTACGTTGACCGACAAGAGCAAACGCTTGGCTGATTTTAACCTTCTGGGTCTCCAATGAGCAGAGTCAGGTCCGTTAAACATTTACTGTTCGGTTGCCCGATGTTATTGGTAAGGGCACTTCCTCCAGCCCCTGGTCCTCCATCAGCACAAACTAAATCAGTGGACAAAAAAAAAACTCGCTGAGCCCCGGAGTGGAACATTACGGTTAAAGAACAAAATCGAGGAAATGTAGTGTCACTACAACCTGCACATTAACTTAAACATTTATTTGAAGTAATCTGGGCCAATTGGCCTGAGTAACTTAAACCTGCGAGGCTAAATGGCCGGCATGTTGTCGAAGCCTTTCTCTAGCCACTGCTGGATGAAGGCCTCACCATGCCGAGTCAGTCATGTGGTGGCGCAGCAATGTGCTGCGAATCCCGATGGCCTGAGTTAGATTCCCAGGCGCGGCTAACATCAGTGGCTGGAGAGTGAGATCCGAATCGGTACTGGCCTCCCCTCTACCTCCTCCGACCCGCAATAACCAGCGCGGTGAAGTATGGTCAAACGACCGACCAGAGCATTGGGGAGGCCTTGTCCATCCAGCATTGCAATGACAAAGGGCTCTAAGCTGAACCAAATTCAAATCACTTTCACGAGACTCCAGGTCGGCTGCGTTAAAAAGTCCAGTGGAGATTTCGCAGATTTTTTTTTCTCTCAGTCGTTGAGCGCCAACGGATGGGGCCGCACACTTGGCAAGTCTGCAAATCCTGCAATGTGGCGTCACCTGTGGTGGCTGCAGGCCCGACCGGGGGCTCTACGTGGAGGTTATTCGTTGGGTGTGCCACCCGACTACTAACACTACGCGATGGACACAGCTCGGTAACGCAATTGCGTCACCGTTGTGCGAAATAATTATTTAATAATTAAGGTGACGGACTGATCACGATTGCGATTGCTTTAAAAAAAAAAAGGACGAATGTGGCTTTTGATTGCTTTATAAGAACTTGAGATCGAGCTGATATTTGATGCAACCACCCACCCCCAATGTTATTTCGTTTTACGAATCCCGCGCCCCTTGAGCGTCTAAGAGCCTTAAGCTTTAGTTGCTTGGTTGTCAGTGCCGGCCGCTGCCCGCGTGTCGCTGTGCTTGTGCGCGTAGCTGTGGATGTGGGTGCGTGTCGCTGTGCTTGTGCGTGCGTAGCTGTGGATGTGGATGCGTGTCGCTGTGGTTGTGCGTGCGTAGCTGTGGATGTGGGTGCGTGTCGCTGTGCTTGTGCGCGTGTAGCTGTGGATGTGGGTGCGTGTCGCTGTGGTTGTGCCCGCGTAGCTGTGGATGTGGGTGCGTGTCGCTGTGGTTGTGCGTGCGTAGCTGTGGATGTGGATGCGTGTCGCTGTGGTTGTGTGCGCGTAGCTGTGGGTGCATGTTGCTGTGGTTGAGTGCACGTAGCTGTGGATGTGGGTGCGTGTCGCTGTGCTTGTGCCCGCGTGTAGCTGTGGATGTGGGTGCGTGTCGCTGTGGTTGTGCCCGCGTGTAGCTGTGGATGTGGGTGCGTGTCGCTGTGGTTGTGCCCGCGTGTAGCTGTGGATGTGGATGCATGTCGCTGTGCTTGTGCGCACGTAGCTGTGGATGTGGGTGCGTGTCGCTGTGGTTGTGCCCGCGTAGCTGTGGATGTGGGCGCGTGTCGCTGTGGTTGAGCGCACGTAGCTGTGGATGTGGGTGCGTGTCGCTGTGCTTGTGCGCGCGTAGCTGTGGATGTGGGTGCATGTCGCTGTGGTGAGCGCGCGTAGCTGTGGATGTGGGTGCGTGTCGCTGTGGTGAGCACGCGTAGCTGTGGATGTGGGTGCGTGTCGCTGTGGTGAGCGCGCGTAGCTGTGGATGTGGGTGCGTGTCGCTGTGCTTGTGCGCGTAGCTGTGGATGTGGGTGCGTGTCGCTGTGCTTGTGCGCGTAGCTGTGGATGTGGGTGCATGTCGCTGTGGTGAGCGCGCGTAGCTGTGGATGTGGGCGCGTGTCGCTGTGGTGAGCGCGCGTAGCTGTGGATGTGGGTGCGTGTCGCTGTGCTTGTGCCCGCGTGTAGCTGTGCTTGTGCCCCCCATGTGGTTATGGTTCATTCTAACACGCGTCATCCTTTTGTTGTTGTTGTTATCTTCTTTTTTTGTCCCCCGCATTTAAAATCGACTCTGAGACAGAGCCTCACAGACTACAGGATGGTAAGTGCTAGGGCCAGAAACACTACAGGGAACAAACAAAACTGATTGACAAATCAACGATGAGCAGTGCCCATCAGCAGGGTTGCGGCCCCTCACACAAACGCTGCTGGGTTTTTTTTTTCTGGCGTACCACAGGCGACAGCTTTGCACAAACAACCGCGAGGGGCCCGTTAAGTGCGTGGTGGCGCAGAGGTTAAGCTGAATCTCATTAGGTCCCTGGATTCTGCCCTGGTTATAATGAGTCCTCAGTGGGGCCAGTGCGATGGAAAGTTATTAAAGTAAATGGCTTGACGGACGGACGGACGGACGCAGGCGGTTCCCTATGAATGATTCGTTTTAAGTCTGCCGACGACGATGACGAACACCTTGCACAGTTTGGGACGGAATGTTTGCGGTACTGCGTTGGTGGCAGCGGTGGCATTATTTCGCGCGTCTAGAACGCGGTTCACAGGCACACATTATTTTTAAAAAAAAAACGCATTTCGTCTGTCACACTGCCCGAAAAAAGGAAAACATATTCAATAGGCGACGTTTCAGGCAACGGGCCTTCTTTGAAACAGAGAGGTAGGGTTCGAGATGTTTTTAGTGTACAATAGAAACTTCACTCTGCCTATATACATTGTGAGGCAGTGACGGAAATTGAACTCTGGTATTGTATGCGTGTACAGGGACTCCCCTACTTACGAACATTCGACTTATGAACTTTCAGAGACACGAACAAACCCGGTCCGTATGTCCAGTTGCCCGTTCGGACTGAGAGTCGTCGGTTCCACCGCCGTGCAATAGATGGCGGTGGTGGTATCTACATCTGCAGAACGTGAAGAACCAGTGGCATCTACATCTGCAGAACGTGAAGAACCAGTGGCATCTACATCTGCAGAACATGAAGAACCAGTGGCATCTACATCTCCAGAACGTGAAGAACCAGTGGCATCTAAATCTCCAGAACGTGAATAACCAGTGGTATCTACATCTGCAGAACCTGAAGAACCAGTGGCATCTACATCTGCAGAACGTGAAGAACCAGTGGCATCTACATCTGCAGAACGTGAAGAACCAGTGGCATCTACATCTGCAGAACGTGAAGAACCAGTTGCATCTACATCTGCAGAACATAAAAAACCAGTGGCATCTACATCTGCAGAACATGAATAACCAATGACATCTACAGCTGCAGAACATGAAGAACCAGTGGCACCTACATCTGGAGAACATGTAGAACCAGCGGCATCTACATATATAGCAGATTAGACTACTTTTAAAGCCATTCCCCGTTGGTAAGTAGATGAGTCCCTGTATGTTGAACTTTCGCACCGTACGTAGCAAAAGTTCAACATACATACATCATTGTGAGTGTTCAATTTCTGTCAACACTCCACGATGTATATGCACAGAGTGAACTTTCCACCTATTATACACTCAACAAAAATCTCTGACCCTATCTATTACAAATCTTGTAGATGAAGTCTTAACGAGCATACAAACATGAACCTACTTTGGAGGGCGATGTTCACAATATTAATTCATCAATCTTCCTGGCATCTCTCTGCCCCTGAAGAAGCCCCGTTGCCCGAAACGTCGTCCACCGTATAACTTTCCCCTCTGCCGGGGGCAGTGCTGGACGGCGTCGTTATCGTGCGCGTTGCGAATCGTTGGGGCGCGTCGGTCGCGTCGAAACCAACGATAAAATCGAGTAACCACTCCGAATGGGGGCGAAGTCAGAAGCGGTGGCTGCGTCGCAGTTGAGAATCCAGCCCCGGCCCCAGACCACTCCCAGCCGCCCACGGACTGCCACGGGAACGTGGAATTTCCACCGCTGCCGCGGCAACCGCCGACGGAGAGGGAGGACGGCGCGACCCTGCTGCGGTGTCGTTTTGTGCCGAGCGGCAGGTGGCCATGGGGGCATTCCGCCCGAAGTTCCGGACGAGCCACTCCGTGGAGGGGAACGGCGGCGCGGCCGACGGAGGCTGCCACTTCGCTCCGCAGGACCAGGTGGCAAACCCGTACGCCGCAGGTGAGCGCACACACCTGTACTCTCGGGGGTGAGTATACACACCTGTACACTAGGGGTGTGTATACTCACCTGTACTCTCGGGGGTGAGTATACACACCTGTACAATAGGGGTGTGTATACTCACCTGTACTCTAGGGGGTGAGTATACACACCTGTACACTAGGGGTGTGTATACTCACCTGTATTCTTGGGGGTGAGTATACACACCTGTACACTAGGGGTGAGTATACACACCTGTACTCTCGGGGGTGAGTATACACACCTGTACAATAGGGGTGTGTATACTCACCTGTACACTAGGGGTGAGTACACATACCTGTACACTAGGGGTGTGTATACTCACCTGTACACTAGGGGGTCTGTATACTCACCTGTACACTAGGGGTGAGTGCAGACACCTGTACACTAGGGGTGTGTATACTCAACTGTACACTAGGGGGTGTGTATACTCACCTGTACACTAGGGGTGAGTGCACACACCTGTACACTAGGGGTGAGTGCACACACCTGTACACTAGGGGGTGAGTGCACACACCTGTACACTAGGGGTCAGTTCACACACCTGTACACTAGGGGTGAGTACACACACCTGTACTCTAGGGGGTGAGTACACACACCTGTACACTAGTGGTGAGTACACACACCTGTACACTAGGGGGTGAGTGCACACACCTGTACACGAGGGGGTGAGTACACACACCTGTACACTAGGGGTGAGTACACACACCTGTACTCTAGGGGTGAGTACACACACCTGTACACTAGGGGTGTGTATACTCACCTGTACTCTAGGGGTGTGTATACTCACCTGTACACTAGGGGTGTGTATACTCACCTGTACACTAGGGGGTGAGTACACACACCTGTACACTAGGGGTGAGTACACACACCTGTACTCTAGGGGTGAGTACACACACCTGTACACTAGGGGTGTGTATACTCACCTGTACTCTAGGGGTGTGTATACTCACCTGTACACTAGGGGTGTGTATACTCACCTGTACACTAGGGGGTGAGTGCACACACCTGTACACTAGGGGTGAGTGCACACACCTGTACACTAGGGGTGAGTTCACACACCTGTACACTAGGGGGTGAGTACACACACCTGTACACGAGGGGGTGAGTACACACACCTGTACACTAGGGGGTGAGTACACACACCTGTACACGAGGGGGTGAGTGCACACACCTGTACTCGTGGGGGTGAGTACACACACCTGTACTGTAGGGGTGAGTACACACACCTGTACACTAGGGGGTGAGTACACACACCTGTACACTAGGGGTGAGTACACACACCTGTACTCTGAGGGGTGAGTACACACACCTGTACACTAGGGGGGGAGTACACACACCTGTACTCGTGGGGGTGAGTACACACACCTGTACACTAGGGGGGGAGTACACACACGTGTACTCGTGGGGGTGAGTGCACACACCTGTACTCTCAGGGGTTAGGGCACACACCTGGACTCCCTCCCCAGGCCTCCCATGTGCACGCCAGCCCTTTCTGTATAGTAATGAGATGCTTAAACATCCAAAGTATATTCAATTGACTGTACGTCGTGTCTGCCCGTGTCTGCACCTCTCTGCCTTTCTCTAAATGTATCTTTGCCTCTCTGTCTGCCTATCTGTTTGCCTGTCTGTATATCTGCCTGTGCTTCTCTCTGCATATCTACCTGTCCCTCTACCTGAATGTCTGCCTGCCTGCCTGGCTTCGTCTCTGCATCTCTGTCTCTTTGCCTCTGCCTGTCTTTCCGCCCATTTGCCTGCCTCTCTCTCTGTCTGCGTGAGTCTGCCTACCTGCCCGCCTGCCTGTCCCATGTCCTTGCTTCGCAGAAACAGCCACGGCCGGGACGCCCCGAGACGCCCGCACGGAGGCCCCGGACGTGGTCCCTCCGCCGGCCACGGAGGGTGCCGCCATCTGCGTGGCCTCGGAGGGGGGCGACAGGGGGCTGGCGGGCCGCGGGGTGCGCTTCCACCAGGACGAGGTGGCCTCTGGCGGTGCCGCGGCGGCGGCGGCGACACCGGGCCCTGGAAGGGAACGCAAGAGGCGCGGAGAAGCAGCCTCGGCGTTCTTCAGCGTCAGCGAGGGCGCGCACTGAGCAAGGCGGTGATGGGGACCCCCCCACCCACCCCGCAAACGCAGGGGAGCGGGGAGACGATGGGGAGGTGGAGGGAAATCGCATCGAGTGAACAGCAGCCACGTCGTCGGCGGCGTCGTCTTCTTGTTCATCGTCTTCACGATCACCGTTATCGTGATTACCATCGTGAGCTCAGCCATCGCCGCGATCGTCATTGGCATTGATGTCGCCATCATCGTGGTTATAGCATCGTCATCTTTAGTTGCTCCATCTGCTTCTTGGCGTCTCTCTGCACGAGGGCAGGTCCCTGACTCTGTCCCCCACCATTCCGTGCCACCCCACCTCCTCACCCCACCTCCTCACCCCACCGTCCCCACGCCGCCCTGCGCCCTCCTCACTCGGGCCCTCCACCCCGGGGTCCGAGCGATGGAGATGACCTCCCATCCCCCTCTGCCTCCCCTCAGCAGGGTTTTGTTTTTAGGGCGCCACACTCGTGACCGGTGCATTTTTTTTAAGGAATAATAACGCATTATTATCGAGGATCGGTGTGAATTATATGCAGATCACGGTGCAAAGACAAAGATCCCGCGTGTAGCCTTTAACAGACTGTAGGGGCAAGTGCTGTTAGCGAGTAGCACCTATGAATGGCACACGAGGGGGTGGGTGGCCAGCACCACGCCAGGCCGCCTTTGTCTCCCCAGTGGCGATGTTTACACAACGCACCAGGTACTCATTTGAGGCCGAGTCGACCTAGGGGAGGCCCAAGACCGGTTCAGATAATATAATCCGTCACCGGTGTTGGCCACGAGCGGGAATCGAACCCGGGTCGCCGGGTTCGTAGAGCAGCGTAGCGCTAACCGCTGCACCACCGCTCCCCACGATGCAAATCACCGGCACGTTGTGACCATTACGCGAACCGGGGGAATGAGGTCGAACGTGTCGCAGTGGTTCGTAGCCCGCTTGGTGTGGGCACTGCTGGTGCAATGAATGGAGGTCCGCCTGTCCCAATTCCCGATGCCCGTCTCTTCGTGGCCCGGAGCCTGCATGACACCTTCAAGCCTGCGGGCCCCGCTGCAGTTGCACCGCCTGCACACCCGATAGCTACGCCACTGATGCGTTCCGAGATCACGATCACAGTAATGGATCGGGTGGGGCGAAGGGGGGGGGGGTTGTGAGTCGTTGTGCGCCCTGATGACTCCTCGGTAGTTGTAGACGCATGGACGCGTTCCTGAATCAAATCACAAAGTGCCGAATGAAAAGGCAGAAACATCGCGAAACATCCGGGCAGCTGTGTAAGCGGTGGTAAGTTCTGTTACCGAAATTACTGACAAGAAATATTCGGCAACGGAAGTGTTTGTTTGAAAGAATTTAAATCACCAATGACCAAGTGGACGAAAATCTTCGAGGGTGACGATGACTACAACTCACCAATACCATCATCACCAATGCCATCACCACCACCACCACTATCATCGCCACCACCACCATTACCACCACCACGATCACCATCACTACCACAATCATCACCGTCATCAACATCACCACCATTCACCATGATAATGATCACCACCATCATCTACCCACCAAACACCAAAGCATGACCGATTGTGACGACACAAAATTAACTAGTCCAAATGAAGAAGCAGACTAAGATCATGTTATCAGAGGCTCTAAGTGCATTGAGGATGACCAAAAATAGTAGTGAACTACAAATGTGAATAGAACATATTTACTGACTTCACTGATTGGCTGACCTGATACATATTGGGAGGAGGACAATGCAACGCCCCTCACACCGACACCGAATAGCCAAGGGCGTCCGACTAAACTGCGTGATCGGTTTCGTCGACGAGACCGATTGAACGACTCCACGAAATCCGCAGACGACTCACGACTTCCACTGAACCTCTGTCGAATGTCGTAGACCAGACCGGGAGACTATAATCCAAGGTGTGACTTTGTTAAAGTTTCTAGTTGGAAGGGGGGGGGGGTGGTGGAGGGGTGAAGCCATTTCAACAATTCCATCTATGAGAGTTTGGCTTCCGTGGGAGGAAACCGGAGCACCTCCAAAAGAAATCCCCAGTGCGCCTAGGCGATGGACGTTCAAATCTCCGCAACGCACAGATGGATACACCAATCCATTGCTACACCTGCCATCTCCTGGCCACCTCGCAGGCAAACCCCCAAACGCCTGGATATTCATTCCCAAGCAGTCTCCCATGAAAGCAGTTGTGCTTCACTAATTTTCAGAGGAAGGGGAGGGGGGGGATGGCCCACTTTCACCATCAGTGTGAAGGCCGCCACACCGCCTGCAAGGGGGTGGGGGGGGGTGTCACTCTGTGTGCATTGTCAGGGAGGGCCGCACGTCAGGGGCCTCACGAAAGGCCACCAGGGGCCGCCAGTGGCCTGCGAGCCTCGCAATGAAGAACCACTGCATTCAAGTATTCGCCAGTGCTCAACGCTGGCATGGTGAATGCAAAATTGTTTTGATAGAGAGGTCCTGGGGATATTAACAAAAAAATATATTCTGGGAAATGAACCCCTCCAACCCCTCTGCTCACCGCCTGCCATAAATCGCACTCCGACTCAAGTCAACTACAGCTAAATCGACACTGTGTAAGGATCCTGACACTGATCTTCAGAATTCAACAGTTCAGTTGTCCTTATACAGCTGCCTTGCGTATGGAACTATTAAAATGCAAGTGAAACATGCGTCCGTGAATTGATTAGTGATTATAATAGAATGAATCGATGATTTTCTTTTAACAAAAATATACGCCTATTGATTTGAGTTTTATCTTGCTGTTAATCGTTGTTTTGAAATGTGGTGTACTCTTGTGCGTAGAAGTCTACTGCGAAAGTAAAGATCACCAACACGTGCGTGGCTCTGCATGGTGGTGGCGTGGATGTATAGACCAAAGGAATTATAATAATCCGTGCGTTTGGTATTTCCCCCCATTATCGTTGCAAATAATATTATTAGCAAGACGCTGTTTCAGAGACCGGTATAATCTTCCACCAAAAGGGGGGGGGGCCCGATGTTGATACCATGTGCTTTTATTCCCACTTTAATTAATTTTGGGCGGTGACGTCTCCAAACGTTGGCAAACGTGGACACCGGCACACGTGGCCTACCACTCTGTTTGAATAACGTCACGGGATCTTTAATGTGTGACGTGGGTACAGGCACCATGTATTTATGGCTGACACACACGAGGTTTTAAACCAGAGCGAGGCGATGTGTGCACGTTACGTGGCCAGGGGCCGTTTGGGGAGCAGTAACGCAGGGCCGTCCATAGAGGGGGTGCGAGGCCCATGGAAAACCGCAATGTGTATTACATCTGACACCGACGTTGAAGCACGGGATCTCCCAAAGCGCGGGGCCCTGGGCGGTCGCCCCTATTCGTCATACCGTAGGGACGGCTCTGGTGGTAGTGTAGCAGTGAGCACGCTGTGCTATAAACCCAGCGACCCGAGTTTGATTTCCGCTCGTGGCCAACGCCAGTGACAATTATCTCGAACCGCTCCTGGGCTTCCCCGATGTACCTGGTACGGTGTGTAAACATTACCACTGGGGAGGCCAAGGCAGTCGCGCGTGGTGCTGGCCACCCACCCCCTCGTGTACCGTGGCGGCTTGCACTTGCACCCCAAACAAATGTTAAGGCTTTTAGGGGGTTCTTTAATTTTGTCGGCCGTGTGAAATGAATTCGGGGGCCGGGCACAACTCACCATGTCATAGATTCTCCACCTCGCAGTTTAATGGATGAGATGAATCACCAAGTACATCTCGAGACTGTTGGACACACTCGTAATCGGACCTTGAAAATTGTCCCAAGGCACACACGAGGTGGCGCTGGATTGAAAACGCTTGCGTAGCAAGCGACGGCACCCATTCGACTACTAATATGTATGCATTATTTTTATTCCTAAAGCAAATGAAAAACCTTCATACGTTATCAAACCAAGTTGCACAAGTAAAAAAATGACAGCAAACATAACTGAACGCGTTAAGCAACAACAAAAAGCATATTCGTCACAAATTAAAACGTAAGTGATTGAATACTTGGCAAAGTCAAAAAAGTCCACTTGTGTGGCCACATTAACAAGTAAAGGGGAATGCTCATCTCCGTTGATGGCCTTTATCCAATAATGAGAATTCCACATTGTCATGCTAGGGAGCAGTCTCTCCATAGGATATCCATTGATGCTTTTGATTGGCCGCGGAGGAACGATAATGAATTCCGAATCGAGATGTGAGCGCAAATATTTGTGATTGCGAGGCAGATGTTCTAACCACTGTGCCACACGGCAGAATTTATGTCATGTCTGAGTTTGCGTGTGGGCTTCAATTACCGTGCCCAACAAACACCTGATCGGCAAGCCCACCATCACACTGCCCGACTTCCATCACACACAGCTCATCAGCGAGCACACCATCACTGGCCAGATTCCACCACAGAAAGGTAATCAGCGAGCCCACTGCCACTGTCCAGCTTCCACCACACACAGCTCATCAGCGAGCCCACCACCACACTGTCCGGCTTCCATTTTCCACGGAAACAATGCACAGCGTTTAACATGATCGGTGCAAACCATGGAAGACGCGAGGAGCACGTGAGATGCACAAGTGGGAAATAAAAGATACCGCTGTGTGCGACTGGAGCTATAAACACAAAACTAAACTATAAACTTTTTATTTTATCAGGTAAGGCCCCACTGAGCTATGTAGCTATTTTATGAAAGCGGCCTGGCTATCACAAACGATAGCTCAACGAAGTGAATTCATCATCATCATCACGTGGAAATTGATAGCAATCAAATACTCGAAACGCGTGTTGTCAATTCTAAATGTAGAGGGAAAAACCGGAGGACTCGGGAGTAAAATCCACGCGACCACAGGAAGAGAGACACGCAAACTCCAAATATACAGGCATCAGGGTTGGGATTGGAACCTACGACCTCCTGTATACCAAGCGAGGTAGTTAACATCTCGCCCCAAAAACCATGCACCGCATAACTCCGCTCTGTCCCAAATGTAAATTAAAGGTGATGCATCAAAAATTCACCAACTGTCTTGCAAAGAAACTGAATGACTAAATCACTTCGGACTGAAACATTGGCCGCACGAAAATAGAAGAAACTTTGCTCAATATTCAAACTCATTGTTAGGGCTTATTGAGACTGGTCCGTACAGTTTAATGGAAAAAAAAACCCACATCTAACCTCAATTGCAATGAACACATTTTGATTAAATACGTCAAAATGCTCGCGGGAAAAAAAATATATCCCAAGTGTTCACTTTGCCAGCGACTGTGGACGCGAACCCGCTATGCTCGGGGATTTTTCCAATCGTCTTCCACGTCTCTCGCTACATTGCGCCTTTGCATATGCACGGCACCACACCGCCTTAGTTGGAAGTCATTCGGAATTCACAGTTTCATTATAAACACACACGCATATATATATCCTTTTTGATTTTATCACCTGTACAAACTGCACTACTATGGGTATAAATTTACCAGGTAAAGATATGCCATCATCGATAACTCCTGCAATGATCCCCGAGTCGCGTAAAGAGGAAGGGCTGAGCGCAAGTCCAAATCCTGACGGACAACTTGAGCCCAACCCAATACAGTGCTCCGTCACGCCCTGAAAATAAAGTTCACCTTCAAAGTTGAGTTTTTTTAACCAGGTGAGATCTCAAGAGACCAGGAAGTCTCATGTACAAGTGACCTGGGTTACTAAATTGACTTGGTATGTATGTACGTTGAACTTCCTTCCCGCCACTACGTAGCCAACCGCGCTATCCGGAGTCATCCGCCAAATTTCTAGAAAGTTTCTCCCACCAAAATTGTGCCCGGCTGAATTTCAGTGAAGAATATGACATGTGACAGGTGTTTGTGACACTGACAGCGGCGGCCTAAGCACAAACAACATCAAATAAACTCAACACATTCGTCAAGGAGGGCCATTGCCCTGAAATGCCACCCGTTCTGTAGCACAATGGCGTACGTAACGTATGTTGAACTTATTTCGCGCCGTACATAGCCAACCGTGCTCATCGGAGGTGTTATCGACGAATGTGTTGAGTTTCGTTTTACACGTAGGTGGCTTTCCTAACCAACGTCCATAATAAAGGTTTTTTGGGTTAGATCACGTAAATATAAATGTCATTAACCCACCACCACCTGACACAGCCGATTAGAAAGGTCTGTCATTAAACAAAACGTGTGAATTAGTTACTAGTTCAGCACACCGGTGTGTTGCAGAGTATACCCACAACAATTACAATTTGAGTACGACGTTTCGCTGGTGTTTACAATAACCAGCTTCATCAGGCGATTTGTCAGAATTGTGTAACTAAGGTTGCTGCCCCGAGTCAAACCAAGCAAATAAGTGGTACTGGCCCAGCCTCTCTGCCACAGCCATCACGAACCCATTATAAGGCTCATTGTTCTGATATTGTGACGCTACTGAGGAGCACTTGCTCCAAGGGCTGGCACTGTCTGTGGCATTGCCATTACAAGACTCCTGTGTCACACACAACCACCTTATTGTAACTCAACTCACTACACATGATGGCCGTGTTTAATCATAGGTGCCTGGAGCCTGGATTCAAACCCAGGATCCAATGAAATTTCATCTTTGACAGAGCCATTGTGAGCCACCCAAGAGACAACTACCACAGAGCGCGAACCCACAATCGCAGTTGTGCTTGCTTCGTTAAGTCTGACATGACCATTATGCGTGTCCTGAGGGTGACACACAACCCCTAGAGCTTGAATCCAGAATCTCAGCGAGTGCTGGCAGTATTTGGCAGACCTGTTGATCGCATTATTCGTGGGAAAACCCCAAAACCGACCATGATTTGAACCCAGGCTCTCAACGTTAACGACTCCGCAGCTCCCGACTCGGCCATTGTCAACTCCCCGAGCGATGCAGCCACCGCCTATAATTCTACCGCCAATCTGGCCTGGGCACTCACATGGTGTGCAGATTCCGGCCTACCACATTGACCTCGACGAGCCTGAAGGCCCTCACGGTGCGTGCCAGAATGTCCACGGCCTCGCCGGCCAGGGCCAGAAGGGGCCGCGCGGCCTCCGCCAACGCCAGCAGGAGGCTGCGAGTGAAGGCGGCCGCGGGCCTCAGCAGGCCGTTGAAGGACACGGTGAGCGCGGGGCGGAGGAGGTAGTCGCTGGCGGCGCCGGCCAGCCCCACGAGCAGCGTACGCACCAGCCGGCCCGCAAACTCGGCCAGCTCCACCGCGAAGACGGCGACCGTGGCCACGAGCAGCCACAGAGCGCCGAAGAGCTCGCGGTAAAAACGGCGCACCGTCACCTCCCAGCTGAGGAACGCACGCGTTCGCACACGCATGCAGGCAGACATACACACGGGTGCAGGCACAAACGCACAAACACATGCAGGCACAGACGCATGCACATAAGCATACACGCGACTGCATTGGTAATGTGTAGATTGTATTGTACTGTGTCGACTGCATTACACTTTGTTGATTGTCTTGTACTGTGTAGATGATAGTCCACTGTGTGGACTGTATGGTACTGTGTAGATTGTGTTTTACTTTGTTGATAGCACTGTGCGATCAATGTGGGGACCTCTCAACTGACCGGTCGGCGAGCTGCATCATGTAGGCGTCATCCTCCACCACCACGGGGGGCCTGGATGACCTGAGGGGTCCCTGCTGGTAGCTGTACATGTACCTGGAGTGCCAAAACACACACAAAAACAAATATCCTCCCTTTAGCCTGAACAGACTGTTGGGGCAAGTGCTGTTAGCGAGCACCTATGAAGGCCGGCACGGCACACGAGGTGGTGGGTGGCCACCACCACGCCAGCCGCCTTTGTCTCTCCAGTGGCGATATTTACACGCCGCACCAGGTACTCATTTGAGTCTGAGTCAACCTAGGAAAGGCTGACTCAGACTGAGCAGGAATCGAACTCAGGTGGCCAGGTTCATAGCTCAGTGCGCTAACCACTACACGACTGCTCCCCACGCAAAAATACATACACACAAATACAGAATAATCTGCGCTTCAACTCTACAAACAGCTACCCTCGTTATTTTGCGTCCATACTTGTTGCTCGATTTGCCACTACACCTGCTAATGAAACAGCTCATAGACACTTCTACACTCCATCATTGTATCCTTTTAAACCCTATCTTTGTCCCATTACTTCACCAGCACTCCTTCCAAACTTCATTCTGCTCTTAAAAATAACACCATCTGCGAGCTACTGCTATTCGTCCAAGGTTCGCCGCTCTTCATCCTTTCACAGAAAATACCTGTGCAAACTATTAATTCTACTTTTCTTATTTCTGGGTGGTATTGAGCTTCATCCTGGCCCAAATGAAAAGAACTCGTATAATTCTGTAGATTTTTCTGGCAGGAAAGGTGTTGGTGTTCTACATGTCAACATCAGAGGGCTTGTGATTAAATTAAGTCAACTAAAACTAGAAGTGGCAAATCTTGACCCGGACATTTTTTGCCTAACAGAAACATTTCTCACTCCTGCCTTCAATGACTTGCAGATTGCGATTGACAACTACAACCTTTTTCGGCTTGACCGAGGATCTAAAGGAGGTGGAATTGCCATCTATGTTCGTAATACTAGTGCATGTTCACTAGCTCACTCCTTGTTTAAAAAATGTTGCTTTGAAGGTCTGGCTCTCAAAATAACTCTCCCAAATCATCAACAGATATTGGTAGTGTGCTGCTATCGACCGCTTAGTGGGAAGGATGTTGAAGCTGCATCTGCACTGAGAGAGCTTTTTGGGGGCCTCCCTAAAGGTGAAATAGTTTTAGTGGGTGATCTAAATTGGAATTTGCTAAACCCGCCGGCCGTGGCCACAAATTTTGCAGATGAATTTAATCTGTTTCAATTAATAAATGTCCCCACAAGACCCAACCTAAAAAATCCGGGACAGCCATCTCTGCTTGACGACCTATTGACAAATACCCCTCACAATTTCACACTGACTGGTGTTCTGGGTAATAACCTTAGTGATCACTCCTTCATTTTTGGAGTGAGATCATCAGCCAGACCCAAAGCCCCCCCTAAATTGGTTGAGAAGCACTCTATGAGACACTTCAGCACTCAGGCATTTACTAATGATGTGCTTCACTCGGATATTGACAAAGTCTATGATATCCCCAACCTGACTACGGCTTGGGAGACCTTCAGGTACACGTTTCTCCAAATTCTTAACAAACATGCTCCGTTGGTTATATTTTGGTTTGATCCTTTGATTACAAAGCTCATGAAAACTAGGGACAAGGCTTGGGCATGTGCTCTGAAAAGTAATTTGGTCAATGACTGGCTAAAATACAGGATTTTAAGAAATAGATGCGTCAAAAAGAATACGGCATGCAAAAAATGCCTACTTTTCCTCCACTCTCCTGGAATCACATGGAAATGCCAGGATTTTCTGGAAAATAATCAAATGTATCAAAAAGGCATCCAAAACAGACAATCAGCCCGTTGAGCTTAACCGAAATGGGGAATATTTTTCAGATCCCAAAAAAATAGTTGACAATTTTAACCTTCATTTTTCTGAAGCTGGTAATCTTTTTGATAATGTATTGGGAGTCACCCCTGCTCATGCAAATTCCTACACCCCTGTCCAAACATTAAACGAATTTAGTTTCCAGCCAATCCATGAAAGTAATGTTCTGAAACAACTGTCCTACCTCAAAGGGTCCTCCTCTACCAAAGCAGATAGTATTCCCGTCTTTGCTCTACTAACTGTTGGTCACCTAATATACAAACCTATAGCCCATATTTTCAACCTGTCCATCAAAGAAGCATCAGTTCCTCTAGAATGGAAACATTCCTATGTCCGTCCACTTCACAAAGGGGACCCTAAAAATGATCCAAATAGCTACCGACCTATCTCAATTTTGTCCCCGTTGATGAAAATGTTTGAAAAATTATTGACCTACCAAATTAGCAGTTTCCTGTCCACCAACAATCTACTACATCTAAAACAATCTTGGTTCCGAAAAAAATACAGCACCACATCTGCTGCATTAGACTCTCTGAATCACATTTACAGTAGTCTTGATAATAAGCAGTACTGCGCCTGTCTTTTTCTAGACCTGTTCAAAGCTTTTGATACAGTAGACCACAACACCCTGCTTAGTAAACTAAGTTGCCTCGGTTTTTCTGAAAATGCAGTAAAATGGTAACAAAATTACCTCTTTTCTCGCACCCAAACTGTATTCACAGATGGTTGGAGGTCAAATAGTGTTAAGATAACAAAAGGGGTTCCACAGGGTTCCATCCTCGGCCCCCTTTTGTTCTCTCTTTATGTCAATGACATGGGCACTGACCTGGATCATTCCAGGGTAAATATTTTTGCAGATGACACGATACTGATTACTGCTGGCCGCTCTCCGGATGATGTGATTGCTAAGCTACAGGGTGATTTCAACAAACTACAACATCAGCTAGTTGCTCTTAAACTAGTCCTGAATACCTCCAAAACCAAGGTGCTATGCTTCTCGCCAGGACAAAAGCAGGAAGTTATTTTTCCCCAGTTATATTCCTTAAATAATTATCAAATAGAGCAAGTCAAGATCTTTAAGTATCTTGGGGTCATCCTGGATTCAAAACTGAATTTGAAGATCACATTGATTATATTGGTAAAAAGACAAAAATAAAAATAGGTTTTCTGTATCGACACAAGCACTGCTTCCCCCCAATGTTCCGTTTGGAATTGATAAAAGCTACCATACTGCCTTTACTTGACTACTGTAACATCGTGTATAAATCAGCCTCAAGTACTGTACTGAAGAAGCTTGATTCCATCTATCACTCGGCCTTAAGATTTACATTGGACTGCCCATATAGGACTCACCACTGTGATCTCTACATTGGGTAAAACTTAACATATCTTAATGTTCGACGGCTTGTGCACCAGATCTTATTTATTCACGATGTACTTACAAAAAAATCCGCAGACTACCTGCTGGATCTCCTCTCTGTTTCAAAGAACAAATTTGATCTCAGGTCTTCGCTCATTTACCAGCTTCACATTCCCTATTGCCGTACAAAAACTGGAGGAAGGGCCTTTGCTATTGATGCCCCCAGGGTCTGGAATGCTATTGCCAATAAACTGCAACTTGAATCGCTACCAATGAGATCTTCTCTCAAAACTGCTCTCGAGGAGTTGTACACCCCTAGCTTCCACTGTTATTCATTGGCGTAAAATAAAATAAAATGTTTTGCTCCGGATGACGCTGCAAAGTATCATCTGTGTTTTGATTTAGCGTGCTGATCTTAAAGGTGCATTGAAAAATTTGAAACTCCGACTGATGCTTGTTGTTGTGGAGAACTCATGCAGCCAGCTATGGCTCTAGGGTTTGGTGTTACATGTTATTTATGTAGTTTATTGTAAAAATTCGGTCACAGTCCCTGTGATCACTGTTACATTGCAATTATTGCTTTATTTTTTGGTGATTTCGAAAAGTTTTTTGGTTTAGACATATTGTTTTGTTGTAGTACGGAGTTAGACTGATGGCCTTAATCTAAGTTTGTCTTGTGGTTGTTGTTGTTGTTGTTTGACTTGCATCCCACTGGGATTTTTTGCACACAGCATTGGCGTACGGTGCTTTTTTCAGTAATATTTTTGCTGGTTTCTTTCATGGATTTTCTGTTTGCACAGTCACATAGTCACTTTAAGATGTTTTTCTTTTTTTGTTTGTTGTGGTTGCACCCGATTCAAGAGCCGAAATGGCTCACAGGGGTATATACCAAATATAAATAAACTGAAATAAACTGAAAATTCTCACATGCCCTGCTATAGAGTTGTTCATTGCATGGCAGTAACACTTCTTTTCTTTGGGAACATGCAATCATTGGTAATCAGGCTGAGATTGTCAAATTGCTAAACTTGAGAATCTAGCTTCAGCAAAGGCAGCTGAAACCTGGATTTGAACTCAAGATGTCAGTGGTGCCAGCTCTGTGATCTGACACAGTATGACAGTATTTTTCTACTGTGTAACTGAGCCGTGCCTGGGCCAGGCCAAGCCAGCTCGGCGTGGGCCAGAAGGTGCCAGGGTGTTTTTCCACTGCAAAAAGCAAAGCCAATCCGTGCTGTCGACGTCACGTGCAAAAACGAGTCGAGACGCACGTATATGGCGCGGTGACAGTGTCCTGACTGACGTCACGTACAATAGACGAGTCACGAACCCCGCCCCTGGCCCTGCTTGGCCCCGAGCCAAATACAGATGTCTTGTGAGACCAGTGTATCTCAGTTTGGTTCATGGGTGGCAAGGGAAATAGCCGATGGAAAAACCACAAGTATCGTGAGGGCGCCCACTGTTGACTCGGCTAAGATGCGCCAATGGAAAAGGGGTATTTGAGACCCCGGAGCTACCCCGGTGACCTCCCCTCTTGTCTCCTCTGTGCCACAGAGGCCACTGCAAGGCTCGCTCACCTCAAATCCCGATAGCAAACGACGCTCGTCAGCACGGGCGAGACGACTTCTGGCTCCTCCGTGTCTCGCTTCTCCGCACTGGGCTCCATCGCAAAGCTCACGTCTACACCGACAGCCTGGCACACGCATGCACCTCCGATTTAGCACGGTTGGCTACGTACGGTGCGGAAGAAGTTCAACATACGTGCACACGACACGGCGGGTGCTTCACGGTGGACGTTAAAGATCCCCTTACATCATTCGCAAGAGCAGGCCATTGTGCGCTGGCTTCAGGGTTAACCTTGTCCCAATTCGGAAATTACACCGCAAATTACTAAATTGGGATTAAACACGCAACAGCAGCGGCAGCCTCCCCCTACTTGCACCCTAATGCCCCATTTGCATGCCACGTGCTGAGTTACCTTGTACCGCTCAGGGACAGCTGCCACTGGGGGTGCCCTAGGCTAGATCATGCAGTAGCAATCATCGCTCCTTACTGACAGAATTATGCCCCAGGTCACTCTAGAGAATGAGACTATCCCGTTCTCTTGAGTTCTCTGCTGCTGGTTAAACAAAACAAACTTGACGGGTGCTACAGCCGAGTGCTTATTAAGGCTGCCACGCCACAATAAGACCGGTTGGTGTAACCAACACCGTCATTATATGACGTTTAGTTCTAAGTGGCTGGATGGCTTAGGCTTCAGGTGTTATGTCTGAGCACTGTGCCTTTTCCGACTTAACGTCTACAAAATCCTAGGCTCTCGCAAAAAAAAACAGCTATTCTTAATCACATAAACTCAAAGGTGTGCTATAAATATTTCTCTGTGCATTTATAAACGCATAAAAATTAAAATGTCAAACGTAACTCGGATTTGCCAGTGTGAAAAATGCCCAGTACGCAGCATATCTGCAGCGCTGAGAGACTCAAAAGAGAGTTAAAGATCAAAGATCCTCCGTATAGCCTTTAACAGACTGTTGGAGCAAGTGCTGTTAGCGAGCACCTATGAAGGCTGATACAGCACATTAGGGGGTGGATGGCCAGCACCACACCCGGCCGCATTTATCTCCCTAGTGGCGATGTTTACACACTATACCGGGTACTCATTTGAGGCCAAAATTTATCTAGGGGAGGCCCAGGACTGGCTCAGATAATCGTCACTGGTGTTGGCCACGAGCAGGAATCTAAAGTTGGGTAGGCACGGTTGGCTACGTACGGTGCGAAAAAAGTTCAACGTACATACGGGTCGCCGGGTTCATAGCGCAGCACGCTCACCGCTATGTTACCGCTCAAAAAAGCGAGAAAGGAGAGGGACACGCACCTCACGTCCCCCTTTAGCCTCACTCTTTGGCGACTGCACAAGTCGCTGGGAAGACCCAGAGAAGCCATGCTCCGCGCCAAACAGCCTGCCCAGGCCACCTCGATTATCCACTTTGGCTGTGCGCGACAGAGGCAGAGCATCCTCCGTTTAGCATTCAGCTGCATGTGGGCACTGCTGTTGGACAAACAGATGGTGAGTCGGGCATTGGAATTTGGTATGGCCGGAGCGAAACGCATCCCTGCCACCTTTCCTTTCACCCGTGTGACGGTGACCATGGCCGCACCGAATAAAGTACTCGTTTTCTTGGGATCAGCAAACCTAAGGGATGCCTAGGCCATGTTCTGTCATTCAACTGTCATGGGTGGCTAGGAATCAAAGTTAAGTTAAAACTCGCCCGGGTTCATTATTATGTTGCGAGTAAAAATTCCTGGTCGGCAGGTCAAATAGACAAAATAAGTCCATCATCTCTTTTTCTTCGGGTCCTCCGGTTTTTCCCTCCACATTTAGAATCAACACGCGTTCATCGATTGTTTCGCTGCTATAAATGTCCACGTGACAATCCACTTCCTTGAGCTATCATTTGTGATAGCCAGGTCGCTTCTGAAAAACAGCTAATAGCTCAGTGGCCTTTACCTGGTAAAATAAAATAAAATATTTTGTTGTTGTTGTTGTTTTTTTTTGAGTAGTGGGTGTTTGGGTGTCGGGTCGGAGAGAGACGGAAGGGACTCACGGGCGAGCGAGGGGGCTGGGTCCGGAGGGGATGGAGAGGGCTCGTACACGCTGGCCTTGTGGGCACCGCGCGCGCCCTTCAGCGCTGGAGTTTGCACCGGCGGATTGGAATCTGCGAGCGCAGGCATCGGGAGCGAGGTGAGCCAACGAGTTTGGGAGATCAAGCAACGAGTGCAGGGCAGCAGGTGTATTGCTTCACTATTCTGTAAAATCGCCCAATGATGCTGGTTGATGTAATTACTAGGGAAACGTCACGGTATTCAAATTGTAAATGTTGTGGTTTGACTCTCTAACACACCGGTGGACTGAAGTAGTACACTACACTATACACTACACTATACTAGTAACTAATTGGCGTTTTGTTTACGTAACAAATCCCTTACTAATTGGCTGCGTCGGGTGGTGGAGGGTTACGACACATTGATACTTACGCGATCTAACCCTAAACCCCTTTATTATGAATAATATTGGTCGCGAAAGCCTACGTCTTAAACAGTACTCTATAATGTTGTACTAAATTATTTAATATCACTGACCATCGACTTCAATAGGTGAGCACCCATCATAAGGGAATTCTTGGAACAAGGTTAGGCGACTAAGCATTTCTAAAAGTGAGTAAGCAGCAAGTTGGCAGGAAGGCAGATAAAGGTAGGGATGCCAAGAATGCAGGTGGGTAGGTAGATAGGTGGACCAGGGGTATGAACATTGAAGAATGATAACATTTATCACAGCCTCCATAACCATTGGTAGGTAAGTTGACATGCCAGTGTGAGCGGACAGCCAGGCAGGTGTCCGCTACTCAGCCCGATTGACAGCGACACGAGACAAAAATCTTCTCGCCAAGACAAGCCCCCCCCCGGGAGAAATGTGACGAAGACGTATGTGGAGGATCCGCCGCCGGGCTACCTCGTACGGAGTCGTAGAAGCTGCTGAAGGGAGGCGCGGAGCCAGAGCCACCCCAGTCTCTGCCTGCCCCGTCGTTGTCCCCTCCTCCATCGAGGCGGCTCACCATCTCAGGCTCGTCGAGACTAAAAACATAAAAAACCCATCGCGTGCGCATGCACGCGCGCACGCACGCATCCACGCGTGCGCTTTGCCAGCCGTGGTAGCCCTGTGCCTCGAGAGTGCTGTTCAGAGCCATGTTGTACGTATGTCGTCATCAACATTATCGCCAGCCATGATCAATCCCCTGCTGTTTGTATGTATGTTGAAGTTATTTCGCAGCGTACGTAGCCAGCCATGCTAATCGGAGATGTGGGGGAAGAATAACAAACTAAATAAATAATCTGAGCCAAGCATCGAGCCTTACGTGTCTCTAAGTGATGGGATGCCAATGACAAAACATTGAGCAATTATATTTACTGTATTTCGGTTCAAGCCCTGAGGCTGGGTGTATCTCGGACAGATGTCTATTGTAGAGCATTAAGCTAGTGTCTATGAGACTGGATTTGAGCCCTGGGGCTGGGTGTTTCTAAAATAAGGTATGCCTTTATATTCTTGGTTCTTTCGGTAAAGTCACATAGAAGGGAAACAATAAAATAATAAAAATATAAAACACTAAAATTCTCACGACATTTCGACTGCTTTTTTCAAATTTTCTTGCTGTGGTTTTCACACCTGATGATGATTGCTTGTGTTGCAGTCGAAACGTCGTGAGAATTTTATTGTTTTATATTTTATTGTTTCCCTGCTACGTGACTTTACCGAAAGAACCAAGAATATGAATCCCTGCAGTCACGAAAGCTTTAAATCAAAATTTAAGTTATGCCTTTGTTAGAACCTCCGATCGATGAGCACGGTGGGCTGCATACGGTGAAAAAAAAGTTCAACATACGTACATACATAGAACAATAAGCCAATGTGTATGAGAGTCTGCATTTGAAACCTGGGGCTGGATGTATTTTAAATAAATTATGCCGATACTCGGGTACAAACCCATGGATCTGAATCTCACCGCAGCTACCTACAGAAATAATCATGGGGTCAAGTATAATTATAATTACAGAAGCTAAAATTAAAATTCCACTGTGATTGAAATTTATTACGGATGTCCCCATGACAACTGGCGCCCTGGGCTGCTCCTTTTCTTTCCTATGGATTAATAACAGCAAATTAAAGATGTAATTATTTAAGATTTTTGATCCACTCAATCATTTGTTCAGAAGCAGAGTGGATCTCGTCCATTCCGCCTTTAAAGCAGCAGTGGAGTGTTTACGGTGGGTCGATAGTTTGGGATTCGTGGCCGCACTCGCAGGCTGCCGGATCTATGACGTGCCATTTGTGCATCAGGTGGCTGCATCGGTTATGCCCGGTCCTGATTCGGTTGATGGTCGACCATTGGCAGCGTGGTAGGAGGTTGAAGCCGGGAGGTTCAACGGTAGGGTCCTGTGTGAGATGTTTATTTTTGATGTCGGCCACAGTCCAGACTTGCTTCCATCTGATCTGCTGCATGGCGACGGACGCCTGCGAAATAACAAAGAGTGCCCGTACCTCTCGGAGGCCTTGGGCGGCTTGCGCTGGTTTTCCGCTGCCGGTCTCTCGGCCTTGCCCAGGCTGCGTGCGGTTGAGGGGCGCGAGGCCGCGCGGCTCGAAGGCTCGGTGGGGGGCTCGGAGCCCTGGGGGGGGGCTTTCCGCTGTGCGGGAGAAGCGGCGGGATGGGGGGGGCGACGATGCTGCCGGCTCCTCCTCGCTCTCCCACGTGCTGCTGCCTCCCTCGCTCGTCTGAGCACGTGGGGAGCAGGAGGTTGTGTGTCAAGACAGGAGTGCGGATACACGGCTCGACAGTGAGACGTACTATACGCTGTGAGTGTACAGCCTCCCTTTTTCAATCCACTGCTGGAGGTGTATGGTCGAATAACCTCTCCGCAGCTATGCCCGTAATATAATTTGCAATCAAAGGCAGGAAAAGAAATACATGAATGAAGGAGCAAATACAAACCAGAGACAGCGTAATGTTAAGAAATAACAGTGGGCTTGAGCAAAACAGATCACTAGAAGGGATTATATTACTGATTGACAAGACTGGTGATGAAAAGATAGCCAAAGTAAAAACAAAACACCCTCCAAAGGATGACCACCAGAGACATGGAGAGGAATTGAGGGATGGTGATGGCGTGGGGAGGCCTTTGTCAGTATTGGAAAGGATAGATCATTACTGTTGATGAAGGGGAAGACAAGACGGAATGCAGCTCGTGGGCAGGTGCAAGGTAGATTGTTCTATCGCATGACCATTAGAGATGGGGATGGCCTGGTGAAGCATTCATCCAGCAGTGGATTGATCACAGATAACTATGATGGTGAATGTCTTAAGACGTTTTGTTCAGGGTGGTCTTGCTCGATTGAAACCTTAACGCAAACAGATCCCACGACCTTTTCAAGTTCTTCACCATTAAGGTTTTTGGGTTGCATCGCGTAAGTATAAATATGTCGTAACCCTCCACCAGCTGACACCGCCAGTGAGGTTTGTCACATGAACAACGCACCAATTAGTTACTACTTCAGCCCACCGGTGTGTTGGAGAGTAAATTCACAACACTTACAATTTGAGTATGACGCTTCGCTGGTAATTACATCCAGCATCATCGGGCGATTTGCCAAAATAGTGAAGCAATCCACATGCTTACGGTCTTAAAAAGAGCAAGATGACGTTATCACTGGACCCATCAGGTGCAGGGAGCAGAGTTTCCTCTCTAAGGAAAAGAGTTGGAAGATGTATCTATATATATAAAAGGGAAATTTGTGAATATGTGTGTCTGTTCGAAATGTTTAGCATACTTCCCGATAGGCAACAAACTTGAAATTTGACATGTGGGTAGCTTCCAGACAGTACACAATGGAAAAAGTATAAAAATAGAAACAATGAAATAATAAAATATATATAAAACAATAAAATTCTCACAAACAGTGTTACAGTCGAAACGTCGTGAGAATTGTATTGTTTAATATATATTTTATTATTTTATTGTTTCCCTTCAACGTGACTTTACCGAAAGAACCAAGAATATGATTCAATGCAGTCACGAAAGCTTTAAATCAAAATTTATAAAAATAGACTTTTATATCTTTGGGGGGGGGGGGGGGGCGCAATAATGGATATATTTTGCACGGCAAATGAGTGGTGACGTCACATCTGTGATGTCACCCGCATGCGGAGGCGTCACGCAGTGTGCCTGCTGGCGTCACGCAGTGTGCCTGCTAACGTCACGCACCCCCCCCCCAACCCTCCGCGTCGGTCGTGATGAACGCTGCACTTCCCATCGTTTTCATGCAGGGGGCGCGTAGGTTTGAACGACGGAGACGCACGGACAGACGATCTGCAGAACGAGGCGATTCGGTGTTGATTCGCAGAATCGATTACCAGATTTGACTTGGCCCCCACCGACACGACTTTGCCATTTGTTCTGCGATGATGACGACAATTTCCCATTCTCCCCGCATACACTGTCACTATCAACATGTCGCACGTTACAGACGTTCCATTACGTTGGTACGCGCACTACTTTATATACAACTCTATGACGAATCAACGGAGCATCGGGTGCTTGCGGGAATGCGTCGTTCGTGTGCAAATTTTGTGACTTTCCTGGCCGAAGGCGGCAAATGCTTTTGTGATGGTGCGCCGCAGGGCCCCCGTACAACGAGTTACTTAATAATACGTTTCCAGGAACGCACTAAGCCTGTAGCTGTCAGAGCGGTTACAATTCTTTGTATTTGTCTCAATTTCAATAGATTCTCGAATTAGTCTCGGTCAGTAATAATTCCTTTTACACAACACTTCAACGTCATCAAAATCAATTGAGTGTCCTTGTTGGCAAGCATGTTCTGCAACTGCCCACAGTTCTGTTTTCTTCTTTTGGTTCTTTCGGTAAAGTCACGTAGAATGAGAATAAAATAATACAATAAAACAATAAAATTCTCACGACGTTTCGGCCACATCACAAGTGGCCTTCTTCAGGTGGTAGGAACAAACCTGTCGGGACGACAGAGCTACAATGATTACCGAAAGAACCAAAGAAGATGAATCCTTGCAGTCACGAAAGCTTTAAATCGAAATTTGCCCACAGTTGTGTTTGAGAGTATTTCATATTCGTTTGGTGTTCTGTTCAAGCACTTCCCCTGTTTTGCTTGTGACTGCCTCTTCCTACCTCAGCAATCCACCAATCCTTTGCCTCACCACCCATGAGCACCTTTGCTCCCCACATGTCACCGCCACTTTGAACAGCCCCATGAGAGGTGGGTTTTTTTACATGGATGCTTTAGTCTCTGGCCAATTCATCTCATCAGATCTCAGAAGCCAAGCAAGTTTGAGCCTGGATAGTGCTCACGGTGGGTGGCCAGCAAGTTGTCATAAGTAGCTGTGAGGTTGTGTTAATTGATTAACTATTCGGCACTGCACAATGCAGCAAAATCCATTTTTACAGTCATACATCTATGGTCCCACGTACTCTGTAGTGTGCTCCACGCTTCGCAAACACGCGCTGACAAGCGTGGTGATGCATGGCCAAATAACCCTTGGGAGCGTGGGAGAGAGGCCCTCATCGAGCAGCGAACTGACAAGGTGCCGTACATGCACATATTTACAGAGACACCGCATGAACACAAATCCTAGTGTATTGTGTAACGCTGTATTCACAATCGACAACATTGGCGTGAGGGTCTGTCGGGCTGTTGAAACAGTTTCGCACCTTGGATCTCGTCTTGTCTTTGGCGGCTTTCTTCACGGGATCCCGTTCGCTCGGAAGAGGGCTGTCCCATGGGCTACTGTCCTCTCCGCTGTCCTGTCGTGTGAGACCGCGTGTCCTTCATTATTTCAGCACGGCACCCACCTCTCAGATACTTCCAAGTTCAAGTTTACGGGTTTCCTTCGCTCTACGCAGGGGTTTGGTTTGTGCGATGTCGCGCTGTCTATGCGGTTAACATAATGTGACCCAGACAATTTGCTATATTATGCGGTTTAAATTCACCCAGAGGCAGCATTGTGTGTGTACTGTGTGCTCTACTCGTAGGGCAGCTGTCTTGTGCGGTGCATTGTGGGTTGGGTAACTGCAGCCGATGCAACGCGATTTCGCTTTGTGCGCCCTTTTTTTGGAACGCATCTACCGCATAAAGCGAGGGAAACCTGCGCTTTGTTTCGGGTCACCAAGAAGACAAATCAAAACAAATACAGCGATGAGGTCAATAGAAATGAGAACGAAAACAATGACAGCACATGAGGGATCGAAAATATAAATACATGTTAAACCAAAGTTAAACAGTAGGTTGTTAAAATATTACTTTGCAATACCTGTAACCGCATGATGGAAACTGGTAAAAGCGGTTACCAGTTTGTTAAATGTATAGTAATGTCTAGAATAATAAACGTGCAACTTTGACAGTATTTAAAGGAGAAACGAAGGCAAGTGACATGGTGAAAATGGTAAGCAAACTGGACATTTGACCTAGACCTTGCCAGTTCGATGTTATCTCCTGTCGTGGCAGTAGCAGAAAAATAAATGTCAACAAATGTGACTGACAGCTCAAGTACGCGTTTACGATTGACATGAGACAGAAGGACCACAATTCACTTCTTCAGCAAATGCTGATTGTTTTTTTTTGCATATGCACCAAGGCTGTGTGCTTTTTTTTACACATTTTTGCCTGTTGGTTGCATAACATTTTCTAAGTCTATGAGTATGGCATAAATGTGATGATGGTGCTTTGAGTGACAGATTTGTGCCAGGAAGGCACCACGTGTTTAAGCAAAAATACAAATTAACCTGAACTTTAAACTTGCAGTGGCCATGGTACAGGAGTCTCCAGAAAACAATCAAGAAACGTATTGAGTGCGATGCAGCAAAACTATCACTAACTTTTTTTTTATAGCCAACATTACGAATTAGTTTTGACGCTTCGCTTTGAAACTGCAACACGCATCTTGAGGTCAGAGACCAGGAAGTTAGAATAACCATGGTAGCTGATCCCAGCAAAACTGTACAATTGTGTACATTATTCGGTGCTGTTGTATGGGTTATTAAATGACACACTTATCTTGCACTTGCCAACAGGAAAGCCACCATAATTTGCCTAACAGGCCACACTCAAATCACCCGAGCTAGCTCAGCAACTTTTGTTCCACCACCCGATTTCTTAACGTTCTGCTGAAAAGGCCGACGAATGCTTGCTGTGCACTTGTTTTATAACTTCATTTACATGGAGAGAAAATAAAACCCAATTCAATGATGCAATACGATGCACTAGTTTGTGGCATAATGAATACGATTGCCTGATAAGGGTAAATACTTTGTATGAGCGATTAATCATTTTAAGGAAAATTTTGACCGTCTAGGATACAAAGCCTGTAGTCATGTTTGTTTTATTTATTGACACTGATCCAGGGGCGAACTATTAACTTGCAGCACCAGTTACAAATTCAAAACAATCGGGGTCATTGTAGAGAATATAAATAACCAAACATAAAGGCAGACAGAATAAATCTCCTTCATAAATCTGTCCCTCCACATAATGTATGATTTCCCCGTCAATTACAAGGCCTTCTGCTACGTAATTTGAGCTACATTAGTTGGTTCATTGCACGCAAAACTCGGGATGAGTTTCGACGCACGGTGTCTCATCAGCAGTCAGGCTTGCTTGAACCAATAATTCTGGCCAACTTCCACTTAATCTTGATTTGAAGCTTTCGTGACTGCAGGAATCCATACTCTTTGGTCCTTTCGGTAAAGTCACGTAGTTAGAAATAAAATAAAACAAATCACGACGTTTCGATGGCAACAAAAGCGGTCGACATCATCATATTTGCCTGATGTCACGTAGGTATTTATTTTATTTTCTAACTACGTGACTTTACCGAAAGAACCAAAGAGTATGTAACTTCCACTTACAATTTGTATTCATTCCAGAGCATTGTCTCCAAAATTAATGTCCTTAAAAATAGCTATCCTTTGTAAAATGTAACAACGTTGCAGTTCTGCAATTACACGGAGTAAGGGCCTCTACCAGAGGGAGTCCTCCAAATGATATCTTGTTCAACTCGTTCACGATGGCCAGGCGTCTTTGGGCGTACCCACACTTTACCCCACCACACAGGACCTGCTTGCTGATCGACTGCGGTGGTGTACACAATTCTACTGCTGGCCAGCGTGGGAAGATACTCTCTTCTGCCAGCAGTGGCGTAAGCAAGCAGTTTCAGAGCTGCGCCTTTACAATGTCACCTGTTAACGTCACCACGAGAGAACCCCAACCCGTGAATCGCCATCTGCTGCGCGAGGGACAGCTTTCACGTAGCTGAACGTCAACGACAGCGTGCGTACGTGCCAGTCAATTAACTTGGTTTGTATTTATAACGTTTGCAACAAGACAGAACGTGACCAAATAAACCCCCTGTGTATGCGCCAAGCAGAGTGCGAGACTGGATCGGGTGAACGCCAGTCACGAGCGACAGGTGTAGTGTAGGTGTTGTGGGGAGTGCAGCTAAATCCGCTGCTGCCCTGTACCCACATCATCCCCGCACTGACCAGCGTGGTGAAGTATGGTCAATAATGATCGCGACTCGGGTCACGCACAGCGTGGGGGAAGGGCCCCTAGTCCAGCAGTGGTTGTGACAAGACAGACTTTACGGACAGTATGCACATGTAACAACATTACCTGACATTGTTCATTGTTAAAGGGTTACGTTACATACAGCGGTAAAGGGATTGTTAACGTTACGCTGCGCTAAATGTAAACCACGGGGCATTGCATTTCATAGCCAACACGAGCGCGAGCACGAAATCCCCACAATTCCATTGGTCTGGACCCCATTTAAAGGGCTCCGGCCGGCCAATCAGCGCGCGAGTAAACGAGCGCCGCGCCAACGTGAACTGCGAAATCTAAAGTAACGGTCGCCAGAGGCTCGCGCGGTTCGATTTAAAACGAGAGTGTAAAATTCGCGTACCATTGGTGAGACAGCGACACTCGACGCAGCAGGCAAACACACACAAGAAGGGGGGTGGAATCTCTACCGCTCTGCGTAAATTTCACCCTTAAATCGCCCCCGGACTTTTGCGAATCAATTTAATAACTCCCCAAGGCGATGCTGGACTCCTCCAAGCCGTTACCACGGCGACGCCGGAGACGGCCGTGCGCGGTGACGTAGCGACTGAGGGGGGGGGGCGGGAGGAAGTGCGTGCGCGATGACGTCGCGAGACGGGTTGGTGTCTGCGCGAGCTGTGCGTCGTGACGTCGCTCGCGGGCGGACGCGTCATCACGTTCGCGTCGAGGCCCAGAGTGAATTGTACTACAGTGGGGTCGATGGTGGTGCTTGCGACAGTTTAAACTCAGCACGTTACGTTCGCCAATAACAGCACCGTGTGTCGTGGGCTTAAAGGAAAGACATGTACAATAGGCGACGTGTAGGGCAATGTCTCCCCATTCGTAGCAGATCCCTTGTGAACGTGACTGACGCTCTTCGGAGAAGGGCCATGACCCGAAACGTCGCCTATTATTTACCTTCTACGGCACGAGGGAATAGAAAGCTGCGGTAGCGATGCATCAGTTAATTATCACCATCGGTCATGGTCAATCCACTGCTGGATTAAGATGTTAACTACCTCGCCTGGTATACAGGAGGTCGCGGGTTCAATCCCGACCCTGACGCCTGTTGTATATTTGGAGTTTGTGTCTCATCATCATCATCACGGTGGCTATGAGATGTTAACTACCTCGCCTGGTACGCAGGAGGTCGTGGGTTCAATCCCGACCCTGACGACGCCTGCTGCTGCTGCTGTATATTTGGAGTTGGCGTGTGTCTCTCTCTCATCATCATCATCACGGTGGCTAGGAGATGTTAACTACCTCGCCTGGTATACAGGAGGTTGTGGGTTAGATCCCGACCCTGACGACGCCTGCTGCTGCTGTATATTTGGAGTTGGCGTGTGTCTTTCTCTCTCATCATCATCATCATCACTGTGGCTATGAGATGTTAACTACCTCGCCTGGTATACAGGAGGTCGTGCGTTCAATCCCGACCCTGACGACGCCTGCTGCTGCTGCTGTATGTTTGGAGTTGGCGTGTCTCTCTCTCATCATCATCATCACTGTGGCTAGGAGATGTTAACTACCTCGCCTGGTATACAGGAGGTCGTGGGTTCAATCCCGACCCTGACGACGCCTGCTGCTGCTGCTGTATATTTGGAGTTGGCGTGTGTCTCTCTCTCATCATCATCATCACGGTGGCTAGGAGATGTTAACTACCTCGCCTGGTATACAGGAGGTCGTGGGTTCAATCCCGACCCTGACGACGCCTGCTGCTGCTGCTGTATATTTGGAGTTGGCGTGTGTCTCTCTCTCATCATCATCATCACGGTGGCTAGGAGATGTTAACTACCTCGCCAGGTATACAGGAGGTCGTGGGTTCAATCCCGACCCTGACGACGCCTGCTGCTGCTGCTGTATATTTGGAGTTGGCGTGTGTCTCTCTCTCATCATCATCATCACGGTGGCTAGGAGATGTTAACTACCTCGCCTGGTATACAGGAGGTCGTGGGTTCAATCCCGACCCTGACGACGCCTGCTGCTGCTGCTGCTGTATGTTTGGAGTTGGCGTGTGTATCTCTCCCCGTGGTCGCGTGGATTTTTTTTTTATCTCCCGGTCCACTGGTTTTTACCTCCACATTTAGAATCAACATCACGCGTTTAGATTATTTGACTACTGATATAAATTTCCACACTGATGGTGATGATAAGCCCACTTCGTTAAGCTATCATTTGTGATAGCCAGGTCGCTTCTAAAAAAATAGAAACATAGTTCAGTGCGCCCTACCCCTCAAATATTTTCAAGGAACGAAACAGGAGGATTTCTCCACAAATCTGGCTGTCGCCTGATGAAGCTGGTTGTAATTTACTGGTGAAACGTCGTACTCAGATTTGAAATGTTGTGGCTTTGCTCTCCAACAAAGCAGTGTAGTGCTGTACTCAATGAATTGGCCACGTTCTGTTTACGTGACAAGCCATACTAGTTGGCTGTGTCGGGGGATTTAACGACAAATTTACGCGATCAAACCCCAAAAATTCCTCTTATGGATGCTATTGGTCGCGAAAGCCTACGTGTTAAACCAAAATAAAAAAAATATATAGTGAAGGGAGCCCAGGCCAGTTTGGATATCGCAGTTACAACTGGGGTGCGATTGGTCGGTTTATGATTTTATTTTGACCCATTATTCATGGAAACCCAAACATATCCTGCCTCCCGAAGGCGCGAAACCCCCCAAACAAGCCTAAGGTTTTGGTGGAGGCTTTCGTTCACCAGTGAATAGATCATGGCTCATGATGAAATACTCTTGACGAACATGTAGGACTAAATTGTTTATGTCAACTGATAAAATGAGTCGCATATTAAGAAAGAATTGGGTTTCACCTGGTTCAGTCGAACATCTGTAAAACACGTTCCTTCGGAGTGGGCAGGTAGAAACTTGGTTGGACAGCGCATTCGTGCGATCCGTGTTGGAAATTAGTGCCGAAACTCTAATTATGCGGATGGAATTCCGGATATGCACGACAGACACACAGACAAATAATCCCTGGTGGGCAGTGTGGAACCTGTTGTTCCTACCTGTAATAAAAGAGCTTTATAGCTCCGGATTCCTCCAGTTTGAAGACACATTCAATTATGGACATTGCTATTAGCTCCGGACATCAAAATGGTTTGAACTAGCTGGCAGGCCAAACCATTAAGTGAGCCTTAAGTTTGTGTGACAGATACATGCATCCTAATATCAGCTTATAACAGCTGCATAATTTTTCTATTTCTTGGTTCTTTCGGTAAAGTTACGTAGGAGGGAAACAATAAAATAATAAAAATGTAAAACAATTAAATTCTCACGACGTTTCGACTGCAACACAAGCAATCATCATCAGGTGTGAAACCCACAGCAAGAAAATAAAAAAAGTTGAAAAATAACTTTTTTCAAAATTTATTTTTGTGGTTTTCACACCTGATGATGATTGCTTGTGTTGCAGTCGAAACATCGTGAGAATTTTATTGTTTTATATTATTATTATTTTATTGTTTCCCTTCTACGTGACTTTACCTAAAGAACCAAGAATATGAATCCTTGCAGTCACGAAAGCTTTAAATAAAAATTTAGCTGCATCATTGTCGCAATTTGACGCAACAATCTGTTTTGTCTATTACATTGTATATATTTAAAAAATAATCAGGAATTACCAAGGCAAAGTTGTGCTGCTCACAAACAATCAGGAAGGCACGAGTCCCATCCATATGCCTCGCGCGAATGTCAAGCAAACACCGCCCCAGTACAACATGGAAACACACCGTGTCAACAACCCATACAGTTTACCTGTATTCTTGTAGAGGGAAATTGAGTTTTCATACGGCGTGCATCCGTTTCAATACGGGCAACAACAAAAATCATACGGCCAAAAAAAATGTGTTTAACCCTTCATAATTTTCTGTGTTTATTGGTTTTACATTTACAACATGAGTGTGTGCATCCACATATCAAGCAAACAGCAGCATGAGCATGCAAGATCATAGAGAGCATGATAAGTCGCATCATTGACACCAATTGTTAAAATTAATACGTAAAACAGTTTTGTTTAGTAAAAATATTTTGTCTACCTGTTCGTGTTTCTCTCTTGCGATGGGACCTTGTAGGATGAACGTTAAGGGCACGGGGTGACCAATAAGGTCTGAATTAGTCTGTAATAAGGTAGGGCACTGGGGTTGATAGGTATGTGTAACGTTGGGCCAACCCTGGCATATTTTACTGGGACATTACCTGCACAATTATTCTCAGCCTCACCTGTACATGCCCATGCGGTGATCACATGACATTCATGCAAAGGATATGGATGGGAATCTGTGCCTTCCTACTGATTGCTGAGCAGCACACCTCTCTCTGTGTTGCTAAATTACTTAAATATATGTTTACAGTCTGCGGCGTATTTTCCAGTTACGTTGTTGGGGTTTCCCGTAATTTAAAGAACGTTTTGGATTGAAAGACAAACAAAACGTATTATGGTGGCAAACCTCAAACTTTTTTTTTGTTTACAGATGTAGGCACTGGCGCTGGTAATGTTTTTGGAAATATATTTAGAGATTGCTTTAGGGGTGGTTGTAGTCTTCATGAAAACGTCGGCCATTTCCTTGCACACACGTTGGGGCAGACTAATATTTACCAGACATAGTTTCCTGGCTCTCTTAAAAGCGGACTTTATACGACATGTCTCAAGCCTCAATGGCCTGTTGTCCGGCTGGTAAAGCCCATTTTCATTCAATCATGCATATGACACAGAAATAAGCCAAACATCTTTTCTTTAGAACTGCTTTATGTGTTTAGGTTGTTGTCCTCCCCCCACACCTCCGATTAGCACGGCTGTATGGTTGTATTTTGAACTTCTTTCGCACCGTACGTAGCCAACCGTGCTAACCGGAGGTGCGCGTTGGCTACGTACGGTGCGAAAGCAGTTCAACATACAAACGCAAGAAGCAGGGAATAGCGAAACTGCCACTCAAGAGTCAGCGCCAGTGAAGCTCCACAGAGGCTCGGCCCATCTTAGCTTATATAACTTTATGTAGCGCCTTATCCCGAGGCGCTTTATAACAATTAGAGATCTATACATAAGATGGTAGTATGAACAGTAGTGGTGTAGTTATGGTTACAGCAGAATAGCTGGGGGAGTTTAAGGAGGGGTAGGGATCGGGGTAGCGATTGGGGTTGGGATAAGCCCGGTTGGTCATAGCTCTTAAGTGCGGGCAGGAGTAGCAGTGGCAGGATGGGCTAGGGGAGACGAGATGGGGTTTCCGGAGAAACGGAAGCAGGCGAGTGAAGATGATTGTTTTCACGTGAATAAATCTTCGATTGTCTTCTTTACAGCAACAACAACAACCCGTTTTAAAACGATCAGTATCAAGCTTTGTCCGACAGCCACAGAATCGGAATTGTTCCGAACACACAAACACAGACACACATAGACAACAACAACAAGCGGTGATGTCACCACGACGCTTGTGCCAGGCCATGTGCACCTTGAGGCCACGTGAAGTGTCGAATGCCCGCTGGCAGGAGGTCACGGGGCAGACCCAGGTGCCAGGGGTCGACTGACTGAGATGACTGGCTGATGCATCACCTGTACCCCCTACTATGCCAACGCGAGAATGCAAG